TCCAGCAAGAGGTGCGGTATTTGGGGCATGTGATTTCCAGTAAGGGGGTTGCCACAGATCCGAGCAAGGTAGAGGTGGTAGCCAACTGGCAGTCTCCTGCTACTGTTTCAGAGCTGCGGTCATTCGCCAGCTATTACCGCCGCTTTGTGGAGGGTTTTGCGAAGTTGGCGGCCCCTCTACACAAGCTGGTGGCACATCTGGGGGCCACCAAGTCTAAGAGAAGGGCCGAGCGAGCTGTTATCGAAAACTGGACAGAGGAGTGTCATAGCAGCTTTGAAGCACTGAAAGCCAAGCTCACAAGTACTCCGGTGCTTGCGTATGCCGACTTCTCTATTCCTTTTATTTTGGAGGTGGACGCAAGTCATGGTGGCCTTGGTGCCGTGTTATCACAAGAGCAACATGGTAAGGTTAGACCCATAGGCTACGCTAGCCGGGGTTTGAGGCCCACTGAGTGCAACATGGTGAACTACAGTTCAATGAAACTAGTGGGCCATGACGGAGAAATTCCAGGAGAATCTGCTGGGCCATAAATGTGTGGTCTTTACTGACAATAATCCTCTTAGCCACTTGTCATCTGCTAAACTTGGTGCAACTGAGCAACGCTGGGCAGCCCAGCTTGCATCATTTGATTTTGAGGTAAAGTATCGCTCAAACAGTAGTAACAAGAATGCGGATGTTCTATCCCGCCAGTATCCCCCTGTCCCAACAAATATGGAAGCTATGCTTCCTGGTACACCACTCCCCAAGCCTTTACAGCAGGCCCTGCCTCATCTCACAACTTTTGATATCTGTACCCTCCAGCAGGCTGATCCGGTTATACAGGAGATCTTAGTGTTTTGGAGACGTGAGCAGCGTCCCAACTTTGAAGAGCGTCAAAGGCCGTCCCGGCCTGCATTGGTGGTACTTCGACAGTGGGACAGGTTGGTTGAGAGGAGTGGTGTCCTGTATCGCCAGGTGTTCCGCCCGGACGGCACGGAAATAGTCTTGCAGGTGGTGGTGCCTGCTTCCCTTAAAGAAGAGGTGCTGACTAAGGTCCACCAGGAGCATGGCCATCAGGGTATAGAAAGGACGTTAGAGCTCCTAAGCCAGCGTTGTTATTGGCCGGGTATGTCCGCGGATGTGTCTAAGTGGTGGTATTTTTGGGTTTACTTATCCATCGCCGGGGCGACGATTCAAAAGGTGGGGTAGATTGTAGCAGTATGAGTTTAACTCGTAACTACTGGACATTCTTTTGGCCAATCACTGCCACAGGCCCCACCCATAAATACGGGTAGTAGCCCTCCTGACTGCCCTCTTGCTTGCTGGTGACGGAAGTGCGTCATACTTCCGGGTCACTCGCTCCCGTGTTGTTTGGCTGCTGCGCTACAGGTAAAGTAGCTTCTTTGTTGTCTCTGCACTTATTCCACTATTATCAGCTGCTGTTATGTTTACTATGTATTGAACGCTCTTAGATCTCCAGTTGGCGGGCTAGTCCTCCACCCCGTCGTTCAACGCATTTAAAAGTGGATGTTACCAAAAGCTACCTGTACTGTTTATACCCTTTGAGCTGCCTCTTCCTGGGTTGACACAAAACGCTGCTTGATCGGTATGTAGGCTACATGGTGAAGGATTTATTTGTTTTATCTGGTTTTATCTTAACTATTTTTTTTTTATAAATAACAGGAACCGGGCTGGTTCAACTGGAGATTCTCTTCAGCCGCAGAGCATTCATTCACTAGCTGCTGTTTTGCCTGGATTATTGTTTGTCTAACGTGTATTTCGAACATTGTACCACCAATTCTACTTGATTGCGGTATGCCCGCCCTGGACAGCTGTTTTCTAATGTGATTGTGCACGTTTTGGAATAATAATAATAAAATATTTATACAAGCAACTCTACTGATCACTGTCTGCCTGTTCTGCCTTCACGGCCACGGTGCAATCACGGCCAGTATTTTAAACTGTTGGAACGCAGCTGGAGGGGTTGACTCTTTATGGTTATAATTTGGTTAAGATTCTTCTCCTTTTTCATTATTTCGTTTTCAGTTTAGTTAAAATTTGTATTTTTGTTTGTTTGTTTGTTTGTTTGTTTCTTTATCAGTGACTTTAGTTTATCTTATTAGATAAACTCACCCAGTTAATGTATTTATATTTTGTCTGATTCTGTCTTATTACTGGATTAGTTGGCCAAGTCTCATTGTACTTTAATCATACTTGTTATTATTATTATAATTTATTTTCTTGGTTTATTGAGAAGTGTCTTCTTAGAATTTTTTTTTTTGTTTTTTTTTGTACTGCCTTTCTGGAACCATTGCTAGTTCTGGCAGCCGGTTTATTTTGTGACTTAAGACTATTTCAGTTTGTTCTTTTTATTTAAATATTATATTGATTTTCTTTTTGTTGAGTGAATCCCCTTTTTTGATCGTGTGTGTTTGTGTTCCAGTTGCTGAGAGCCGAAGGTGGTGGTGTTGGTGTCCGGGTGGTGTTCCCTTCCGGTGTGCTGTGTTGTCTACCCTGTTTTCTTTGCTGTGTTCACTGTTGTGTTTTGTAGAGTTTGTGTGTGTTCACGTGGGTAACTTTTCCTGGGATTCCTTCCTGCCTTAGTGACTTCCTTCTCCTCCACTGGTAAGCCTCAGCAACAAGTATAATTTGTCCCTCTGTCCCCCTTCCTAAAGTATGAACGTGTTTTAAATTGTTTTTAAATTATTGAAATAAAGTTTGTTGTCCCTTCTAACAAATTGAACCTCGTCTCTGGCTGAATTGTATACCTACCTGTGTGTCCGTAAGCATATGAGTAATATTGCAATTAGGAAGTAAAGAAAATCATTCTCTGGGTGAAATTCCAGGGTGGCGTAGTCGGTGTTTTTGGGGCAGGTTCCACCTAGACTATAACCTCCTCTGTATCGTCTGTTTCCTGCTTCGCCACAACCTAAAATGTGGAACTCTCTCCCCCGATCACTCTGTTCTGTTAACACTATTTCTGAATTCAAATCCATGCTCAAAACTCACTTATTTTCTGAATTCCATAATTCTTAAGTTGTATTGCTTTTTTTTCCGCTTTAAAAAAAAAATCTGATTGTATTCTATTACTTGCACGTTCATCTACTGTTGTTTTGTCTGCTGTCTTTGTCCATTGCCTTTATTGTCGCTTGTTTATTGTAAAGCATCCTTGAGACCTGGAAAGGCGCTATATAAATGAAAGATCATTATTATTATTGTTATAGAGAAACATGACAGGATTAGCCTATTTGCAGCATCCATGCCTGTGGTTTTGCTCCCGTTAAAGCATCTGTAATGTTCAAAGGTGTGTTAAAATCCCAAACATACTGAAATGGGCATAATCTCTGGAATAATCTGATAAAGCCATTAAAGTTGCACGCCCGTATCATGTGCACACGCCTGATTTTTATGTGGGCAAGATTTGAGACTAAAGAAACGCCATAGGTTTTGTTCTGGGTTTTGAGAATTGTTTATACTTTATTTCTTACAATTGCATGTTTACATCACACAAGTCTGAATTGTGAGATAAAAAGTCACAATTGCCTTTTGTGTTTTTTATTCCATGGCAGAAACAAGCTTTTTTGGGCCGGGATGAGAAACAGAGCAAGAATATTTGAGAGAAAGAAAGAGAATGTGATAGAAAGGACAGTTGTATAGAGAAGGTAGGCTACTGCTAATATAGTATTGTTGTATAAATATATTTTTGTAAATGCAACAGAAAGTATCAGTCATTACTGATTAATCATTAATGCGATATTAAAGTACTAATTTTGTCAGATAAGATTAGAGATAGTATGTTCATCAGGGAGTCACTAGAAAGTTATTCCATAATTCTTTAATCCTTTATTCCTCCAGTGAGCAAACCAGAGGTAGAAAAAGAAACAAAAATCTCATGTCGGTGTTGGTTAAAGGATAAAGACAAATCATAATTTGATGATGATGATGATGATGATGATGATGATGTTTATGTCCAGACTCTCAGGTCACTGTTGAATATGCACTTCAGTTACAGATAAATATGATGTGGAGGTTGAGAAGAGAGACCCCTGATGCTTTGAGTGTACAGTAATATCTAGAAGAGCTATATATACATGCTTCAATCAATTTATTCATTCATTTAAAAATTACCTGATTTTTTAAAGGTGGTGTTATGATTAGGGATGAATCTGGGTTGGTTTTTACTTTGTGACAAGACCATTGTTATATGTTTTTCTTTTTGTGCTAAGTGTCATTGTTTAAACCCGTTTTTTAAAGATTAGTATAGTTTTAAAAAAATCTATATCTTTAATAATTCAAATGTAAACAGTGCAGTATTACCATTGTGCATGACATTTAATATATATATAAATAAACTTGCCTTGCTTTGCCTACCATTATGAAATACAGTATGACCATATACAACATGGACGAATCCAGAATTCAGACACGGGGCAAAGAATTTTACACTATATTTGTTTTTACTCAAACATATCACACAAACACATATCTGAACATATTTATTTCAGCCCATTACAACAGAAAACATTGCGGCCACAATTTAAAAAATGTAACATGCTTAACAATATGAGAATGTTAGAAAATGGATGCCATATGAAGTGTTTAGTTGATTCCTTTATTTCTGACCCATGTTTAAGTGTGGTTTGCTGATCATCATACATTCCAGCATATTTTAAACACATTAAAACTGAGATAGCCTATCTCTTACAACTGACAGTTTGCAAAATGCCATTTGTTCGATTACAGATAATCTGACCTCATCAGTTCCCGACAGTCAAATGGAAGAGGGCTCCATATTCAATAATAAACACTTTGTGTGAATAAACAGGCACTATTGGGAGACATGAACAGCCTTATAAATATATTATGAAAAATTACATATCACAGGCCTTATTATTCACTTACAGCTGCTGTTTTATAGTTTGTCCCACAAATGTATTTAGCATTGTCTTGTTTTCTTATAAAAAGATGACTTTGTATTTAAAGATAATGTTGTTGTTGATTTAGTCATTTTAAAGCCTTCAAGAGAGCAAAAATGTTACTCCTTGTTACTCACACATGTACATGTTCTCAATATACATACATTATAGGCAAAATATTTAAACTATTCACAAACATAGGTGTTGCACAGATTCTGGTGTCATCTAATGTTTGATAAGGAAGTCCTTAACACAAGAACCCAAACTATTCCATTCATAGACAGATGGAAATTACATTTTTGTGCTTCATAAGAGTGTAAGTGATCATTTCTCTTCTGGGAACAGATTGAAGTATTCTGATGAAGGTTCACATATTTTCAGTGTCAAAATGTATTTTGCTGACACTCTAAACCATTGATAAAACATTGCATATATAAGTGGATTCATGCAGGAATTCATGCATAACATCCAATACATTACGTTAATTATGAGAGTGTCATTTTCGTCATGCCCAAAAGAAAGAGTAACTATGTAGTACGGTGTCCAAAAAAGAAGATAAACAAGTACTACAATCCCTAAGGTTCTTGCAGCCTTTTTCTCTGATTTGGCCTTTTTGTCTGTGACTGAATTTAAATGCTTAGCTTGCCGTTTTGCTACAAAGCAGATTTTCACATATAAAGGAATAATTATGCAACAAGGTGCCGCTAAACAAACAAAAGCATCTATTAGAAGATTTTCCAATGTAACAACAAGTATGCATTCTCCAATACATGTGTGGTTCCTCTCTGGATACAGTAAAAACTCATACAACAGATAAAACGAATAAAAGAAGGAGAATAACCAGTTTACAACAATAGCAACAACAGCTCTGTTATTATTGACTCTTATTGGATATCGCAAAGGGTCATTCACAGCAATGTATCGATCCACAGATATAATAATCATATTACCAAGAGATGCCACGACGACCACATAAAGAATAAGAGGAAATATTGAGCAAAATATTTCTCCAAAGTACCAGCATGGCTCAATCAGTTTCATTCCCTGCACTGGCATGAGAATCAGTCCTGCGATCAGATCAGCCACTGCCAGAGAGAAGATCAGCACATTGGTGGGAGTGTGGAGCTGCTTGAAGTGCGAGATGGAGATGATCACCAACAGGTTCAGAAACACGGTAAACACTGATGTTACAGCGATGAAAATGTACACAACAATGTACTCTGCTTCAGGTCGGATACTTCTGGTACAAGACAAATTGTTGTTTGGAAAGCAGTATTGGATTGTTTGATTGTTCATGTTTGTCAGTCCCCAGTTGGATAGATTCTGTGTGAGGATGCTTGTCAGTTTAGCCCCCTGGTCCTTGTCACTGACATGACTCAGTTTTATACGTACAGAAAGCACAGCGACCACCCCATTCAACAATACATCCTCTCAAATCCACCCACTAGTTACATATTCATAGACCCGATCAATCTGATTAATACAATATAGTGGATTAGCGAATCTAATAAAGCTTGTTTACTCTTACATTCTGCCCATGCAAGACAGCATCTGTACTTACAAACAGCAGGCAAGTGCATTACTGTTAGAGCAATAAGTCCAGTCCATTGCCTTCTATTCCATTCAAAATTATATATTTTCACATTTCAAGTATAGGCCTACCACCAATTTATGTCCCTGGAAAAAATTTCCAGAAAGGAGCCTCGAAATATTATTAGACTGTTATGCAAAGGCAAAATAGAATAAGTAATTTAGTCAAAATTGAATTCTGACCACAATTTGTCCTCATAAACTATGATCTGTCCTTTGATAGCTTTGATTAAAGCTAATGCTTAGATTAAAACAGGGGTGTCCAATGCTGCTTCTGGAGGGCCACTGTCCTACACAGTCTAGCTCCAACTTGCCTCAACCCACTTGCCTAGAAGTTTCTAATTTGCCTAGTAAAACCTTGATTAGCAGGTGTGTTTATGTGGGGTTGGAGCTAATCTTTGCAGGATGGGAGACCCCTGGATTAAGAGAAAAGACTAACCAAGGCAGAGCCGGAGGGGAGAGGAGGCCCGGTGAAGCCATAAGGATGACGGTCCCAGGTGGAGCCGAGGGGGAGAGGGGCCAAGGTGGAGCCGACTGGTCGATGGGCCGAGGTGGAGTGACCGGCTCAAAGGCTTGAGGTAAAGCCAGGGGAACGTCATCTTTTGGTGGAGCTTGCGAACTGGAAGCCCCAGGCAGATCCGAATTTCTAGGTGATGTGAATGAGGGAGGATCCGAGGGGCTGAAAGGAGCCAGCAAAGACAAGGCTGAAGAACTGGATGGCATAGACAGAGGAGGTAAAAGTGGGAGGCTAGGTGGGAGCAGGTTTGGAAATAATCTCTTCATATTCCTTAATCCCACAAGGGTTCAAGTTCATCATATCCACAGCAGCGTCGGGAGTATGGACAGGGCTCCATTCCGTGCTTTCATATTCTATTAATATTCCCACTGGAATTGATACAGGAATCAGCTCACACACCTGCTCAGACTGCTCAGACTGAATTGGCTCAGGTGACAGACATGGCTACAGGAATTGACTCTGTAGTGGGCATCGGCTCAGGCTCTTGGTCCGTGGCGGGCATCAGCTCCGGGTCTGGGTCTGTGGTGGGCTGCAGTTCCAGATCCGTTGTGGGCATAGGCTTAGTGCAGATGATCGAGGACATTATGATGGAGGTAGTGACTGGAAGGGCTGCAACGGAGTTGCTCCGTCGTCCTCCACCTCGCAGACAGTACAATGCCCTAATATTATGCTGTGTCATGCTGGAGGTGATAATAAAGGAGGTGCAGGTGAACATAATTAACCAATGAGTAGCCATGGCAACAAACTAGCAACAAGAACAAAGGAAACATTAACAGAACAGAACATGAGAAGGAAACACAGGAACAAAAGGAAACCACATGTGAGTCCACAAACAGAACATAACCGTTACACATATGAGCTAAAGCATTATGACCAGTCACAGGTGAAGGGAATATCATTGATCATTTCCTAACAAGTCCACATATTAAGGTCTGGGTAGATTAGATGGTAAGCAAACAATTCTTTCTCGTAATCAACATGTTGGGTGCGTGTTCCACGTGGATGGCCGTGCACGTTTGCGCCTTTTACCTGGGGAAGTGATGGCACCAGAATGCTCAGTGGGATGACTACAAGCCGGTGAAGGGAGTGTGATCCTCTGGGAAATGTTCTGCTGGAAAACCCTTGTTCCAGCCATTCATGTGGACGTAAATATGACACGTGCCACCTATCTAAACATTGTTGCGGACCAGGTACACCCTTTTATGACAGTGGTGTTCCCTGGTGGAAGTGGTCTCTTTCAGCAGGATAAGGCACTCTGCCACACTGCACACATTGTTCAGGAATGGTATGAGGAACATGATGAAGAGTTCAAGATGTTGCCCTGGCCTCCAAAATCCCCAGATCTCAATCTAGTTGAGCATGTGTGGGATGTGCTTGATCAACAAATTTGATCCACGGTGGCTAAACCTTGCAACCTACAGGACTTTAAGGATCTGCTACTAATGTATTGGTGCCAGATACCACAGGACACATTCGGGGTCTTGTAGAGTCTATACCTCAGCAAGTCAGTGCTGTTTCGGCACTATGCAGAGAATCAACCACATTTTAGGCAGGTGGTCATAATGTTTTAGGTCATGTTCTGCTGGAATTAATGATGTCTTAAGAATTTAAGAATTTAAGATGTCTTAAGTATGTCTTAAGAATTTAAGTCTGTCAGGTAAAACATGAGCTTATAGATTCCATTAAATCAGGGATGGGCAACTTCGGTCCTGGAGGGCCACTGTCCTGCAGAGTTTAGCTCCAACCCTGACAAAAACTCTTTTCTAGTAATCCTGAAAACATTGATTAGCTTGTTCAGGTGTGTTTAATTAGGGTTGGAGCTAAACTCTGCAGGACAGTGGCCCTCCAGGACCGAAGTTGCCCATCCCTGCATTAAATCAATCTGCTGTATCATTTTAACCATTACTCATGGTCAGAGGATATTGTAAATATTTAGCTTATGTTTTCAATGAGTTTGTATCATGAGTTATATTTCAATAAAGTTTAATGATGCAACACAAACAGATTTAGTATTGTGTAAGTTGTTAATTAGAGCTCTTTAACATTGCAACTAGGGTAAGTTGAAACTTACAGCTTGTGCAACTGGCCCCAGGTTCCAGGCATATCAATTACATCAGTGGTTCTCAACTCTGATCGTGGAGAGCCACAGTACTGCACAGTTTGTATGTCTCCCTTATCTGACAAACAATGTTCAGGTCAAGCAACTCTCTGGTAACAAACTGATGATTTGAATCAGTTGTGTAAATGTGATTTCTCATGGAAAATATATAAACATATGATTCTGTTCACCTGTGTAGTTTGTTCCTTGGTAGTTCTTGGTTGTTGGTTCTCTTTAATGTCAAGATATGTTGTGGTTATAATGATATAATGTTAATGCAGTTGTGGCCTAATGGTTAGAGAGTCCGACTTGTAACCCGTAGGTAGCGGGTTTGAGTCTCAGAACCGGCAGGAAATGTGGGTGGGGAGAGTGAATGAACTCTCACTCACGCTCACTTCCACTCTCATTACCCACAACTGAGGTGCCCTTGAGCAAGACACCAAACCCCCAATCATCTCCGGGAGCCACAGCTAAAATAGCTGCCCACTGCTCTGGGTGTGTGTTCACGGTGTGTGTGTTTAATACTCAATGCTGTGTGTGTGTGCACTTGGATGGGTGAAATGCAGAGTACAAATTCCAAGTATGGGACACCGATTGGCTACACGTCATGTCTAACTCTGGATAAATCTCCAACATATTCCTGTGTTATGAGTGATTTTGGATGATTAATTAAAGCCTATTTAAATATATCTCCTTCGTTGTGCTATTTGGCCAGCGTAAACTTGACAGAAGAACCGACCATAAAAGATATGGATTTACCGGCCATCCAGCTGCTCTGAATAGAGCAAGAGCAGCAATCTCAAAAGGTCCACACCAGGTAATTTCCACAACTGGCATGCCTAACAAGCTTTCCAGACCACTCGCTGTGCATATTCCTCACACAAGTTTGAACAAACGCACAAAGGCTCCAGTTCCAGAGCCCAGCCAGCCGCCTCACAAGGAGCGAATGCCAGAGCCCACTGTAGATGGAGAGCCTGCCTCAATGAAGATGTCAAGAGTTAAGGACTGAGCAAGCCATCACTCCAGAGCCCGAGCCGTGGGACTGCACGTGGAGTACTAAGGCATGGAGGAAACCTATGAGTGAGCTGCAGCTGGCCTCTGCAAAAATGTATGAAAATATGGAAGCTGATATTTCCCTTATTCTCCTGTCCTCACTGGTCTCGCCAAACTCCAAGAATCCTGTGCCTCCCGTGTCTTCAGAGATCCCACCCAGCCGCCCTCTCCTGCCTCCTCATCCAAAGTGAGCCAGCCTGTTGGCCCCGCCTCTACTGGTTCCCATCAGCTCCTCAGCTCCTCCCTTCTTTACTCCAATATGCTGCATGGATGCACCTCGGGTCTTCCGGTCTCCAACTCTGCCCAGTAAAGAGAATCCCCCGGCTCTGCCTCTAGCCGCTGATCTCGTCACTTCACCTCGGCCTGTCAACCTGTCGGCTCTACCTTGGCTCCTCCCTCCCTTTGCTTCACCAGACACCATCATCCTTACAGCTCTACCAGGCTCCCTCATCCCTCCGGCTCAGCCTTGGTCAGATGTCTCACTGTCTGGCACCTCAGTCCTCTGGCACCCTGGCTACACCTCGGACACTCGTCACTGCATCTCCGCCTTGGCCTCCAGGACCATCGGTGATGCCTGTTCTTGCTGGCTCTTCGTCTGGGTGTAATTTAATGTAATGTAACGTCTATGCTCTGTTTTGGTTTAGTTTCATTTTGTTTTGTTTTTGCTCTGTTCCCGTTTGCCTGTTCATTATTAGTTCCCTTGGTTACTCTTTCACGCTTGGTTGCTGTTTAATCATTGATTATTTGATTCTGTTCACCTGTGTTCTTTGTTTGTTCCCTTTCGGCAGGGAACTCGCACTGCATCGATTGACGCTAAGGGGAACGCCCCAGGCGTGACAGGTGTCTGAAATCACAATCAAATCCCGGTAATCCTATAACCGGCGACAGCCCATGAATCATTAACGTGCGATTTGAGTGTAACCCTGGTTAAATAATTGTTTTACAGATATTATTTATTTTTATGTTTGCTTGAATAGAATGTTATGATTATTCATACATGTGTAATTCTACGGAAAAAATATATATAAATATATATCAGAATTGAGTTAAGAGAGGCATCTGCCAATCGGAGCGTTTGGTTGCTGGCTCCGCCCCTTTGCTTACAAATAGCGTTGCGCAGATTAGACGACAGATGCAGAGCCACTGAGATATCTGATCTCACAACGAGAGAGTGTTAAAATTGAACAAATATAGTTCTTAAACTGTTCAAAGTTCACAAAAACTGAATAAATCAGAGGGTAACTATAAGATAGTGGATGATCCAGTGTGATTGTGTCAATCGGGCACTTCACAGTTTACATTTTGACTCTGTGAGTTTGCCAATGTTATAATTAGCCTTAAAAAATGAATGACAGCACTTTGGATGTGGTAGAGGTTTATTTGTTTTATGCATATGAGACAAAATTGTGTTATATTCTGATGTTGTATGGGTTGGATTGTTCATTTGCAGTGTGGTTGTGTCAGACCGCATGGTGTATTAAGTGTTCACTGCTGACGCCATTTTGGTTGCGCGTGCCTGTGGAAGAACAAAGAGAGAAGAAAGTGAATGGACAGGTAATTGAGTACAATGTCATTTGTTATGATGATGGTATGCATATATATATTTCATTTGTTTCCTGTGTCATATATTTAATTGTAAATCATTATTGATATACAATATTGAATGCATATTCTGGTCTGTGATCAGGTCAGGTTTTTTTTCTGTGTGAATGTTTTTTCAAGATGGATTTCCTTAATTGATGGCGAGCCTCCCACTTCGATTCTGAAAGGATCACGAGCTTAGAGGAAAGGACAATTTTCGATTTATTATTTATAAGTAAGAGAACACATTTCCAGAGACTGATATATATTTTCCTTGGTACTGAAACATCTCAAGAGCACAATTGGGAAAGTTTAAGACTGATAAATATTCCAATTGATATTCAAGTTCAAACTTGAAGAACTGATTTCAGTGGGTTATATGTAATATCACTGGTGATTGTTTTGTTTTTTTCTTTCATTTGTGTTCATTTGAATACATTGATTGTGATTGTGATTATTGATATATGAAAAGTTATTTAGAGGGTGCACCCAGGCAATAGCTTATTGTCTTTTTCTTTTCTGTTTATTTTTGTA